CCCGCCCCCGCCCCTGTCGCCGCCCTGAAATTGTAATGGGCAGCGAGCGAGTCGCAGGCAAATTTATTTAAGTAAATCACAAGAAATGTAAAACAACTGGGCAAGGTTTTTTTTCTTTTCTTTTCTTTTATTTGTTTTTTTATTTTTTTGTATTTTTTGTCTTTGGCCTGAGATTTACCACCCCGTAGCCCGGGCCAATGCTGTTTTTCTTTTCCTTTTTTCTTTAAGGGTGGCTTTCAGTAAGTTTTCTGTAAAGGTTTTACTTTGGCCTTTAATCGATCGACTTTTTTGTGGGCGGGGGTCGATGGGTGACGCCTGCACGGGCACGCGTCCAAGAACATCAATCACAGTTCCGCAGTCCCAGCAAGGTGGCAGCTTCAAAGGCACACACACACACACACACACACAGCTCACACACACACACACACACACACACGAAGCACACACACTGCACACTCCGGAAAATTCCTCAAGTTTATCGTCAACATGTCTGGCATATTATTCAATAGAACTTGTGCTTATCACTTGAGCATCTCTTAAATGCGAATTTTTATATTGAATCTTATCTTGGAAACTTTTTCAATTCGCCAATTCTTTTGTCCACGCAACGGCTATCTAAAACGGGTTTTTAACGCCTTCAATTATTCAGCATTGTTAATACCATAAGACAAATTCTTATTAGGTTAAGTTAATAATAAGATAAAAACAAAAGCCTAACTTGAGCTTGCGAGAATCGCGTAGAAAGGCGTTATTATTAAGAGTAAGAGGGAGAAAGAGTAAAGAGGCGACTTAGTAAGCAAAGTAAGGCAGAGTGTGAGAGATATGGTTAATAAAGAGAAAGAATGAGGGAACAGGAAAGAAATTAGGAGAAATTTGTTAAGAGAGAACGATCGGAAATAAGGGGGAGAGAGAGTATGAGTATTATATAATAAGAACTTTATAAAAATCTCTCGTTCAAGTATTTTCATATGCATGACCATAACTACATGGGCAACAAATCGTAAGCCCTTATTATATATCGTGAGAATCGCATAGAAGGGCGAAAAAAATACATTTTTGCTGATTTGTCTGTTCGAGTGTGGCAGCATCTATGTGAATCTATCTGATTCTGTTAGTTTTTGATTGGTGGTACACCCTGTTTTGGGCAAGAGCGAGGTAGCATGGTTAGCTTGAAAAGCAATCAAAGCTAGCTCTAAACAATGCTCAGTAGGGTATTGAAAGTTCTACACACACACACACACACACACACACACATGCAGAACTAACGATTCCGTTCTGTTCTATCTTTTTCAGTTGTATCTTGCTATAGTTCAAAGTTGACAATTGGCAGTTGGTCTATTGGGTTCAGTTTGATGCTCGGTTCTCTCGTCCGGTTGGATTTGATTCGGTTTTAGTTGCTTGGCCAGTGCACAAGACAGCGGAGAGGAGACAGGGAAAGGGGTAGCCGGGGTAGGCAACGAGGGGCAGCTGCGCTAAATGAAGCAAGGCGAAAATGGGGCGCATAGAAAAAAGAAATGAAACGCAAACCTTTTTTTCCCGGCACATACATATTCCTATGTAGTGCACATTGTACAGTAAAAGCACATATATATAGAATATATGTATATATATTATAGAATATATATATATGTATATATATATATTTATACATATGTATTCATTTCGGAGCTGAAAACAACACAAATGTAATCTATATCTTTTTAGCCAACAACAACAATTTAAACGTAGCACAAAAATTGTCGACGTTGGTAAAGTGGGCGCGCCGCAGGGCGGGCGGTCGGTCGGTTGGGCGGGGGGCGTCACGAAATCGTTGGGTGTGCCCCGAGACGCGACGTCTGGTGGCATGGGATTAGTTGAGAAATAAAAATCCACCCGACCACCAAGCTCGAGGCAAACAAAAAAAAAATACTGCTGATGAGTTGAAACATACAAAAAAAAAAAAAAACAAAATGAAAGAAAATCCAAAAAAAATCGGTTATTTAGTAGTTGTGAGTGGGAAGCTTTGGGCGCATTTTTCTCGCTCTGTTTCATTTGTTCTTGTTGTTGTTGTTGTTGTTGTTTTTGGGTGCGCTAAAGCGAAATTAAAACGAGGGATTTTTTCTATTTGGTTTCGGGTTTACTCCTTTATTTTCTCTTTTTTTATTATTGCACCAGCTCTCCTGACTTTTATGTAATTATATATACCATTGTTCGGTTGTCTATTTGGCTTAGGTGGAGTTCGGTTTGGGGCGGGTTGTCGAATGATTGTGCACAGACATCATCAATACAGGACTTGACAAATGCAATCGTTGGCTGTGTATCAAAGGGGGAATTGAGCAACTAACAAGAATCCCTACACAATGCTTCCAATTAAATGTTTAAGAATGTTGCACTAAAGAAAACTTTAAAAATTGCAGATTTAAAAAAAATATATATGTACCTTAAATTCGTCTGGGGTGACTTCAGAAAGTTTTCCGACTAATATAAAAAGCATTCTATTTATTTATTCATATCTATCTCTTATCTATATTTACTATACTTCCCGTTCATTCTTGATTTTTGGATTGATTCTTGGATTTATCGTTAATTATCGAAGCAAATGCCCAAATGTCCCTTGGGACTTTTTAGAGTAGGTGAATTTTTATTGTTGCTGTACGATTTTCTATGAGTAGAGAAAACAAAATGGTCGGCGCTTTATTTGAAGTGCTTTTGTTGTTGTTGTTGGGTTGTCCCTTTTATTTATTTTTTTTCATTTGCCAGCTTAGCCCGGCAAACGTTTGTTTCTCGTGTCGCAAAGTTTAAGCCCTTTTTTCTGATTGGATTGGGCTTCTTCTTATGTACAACCCTTTTTTATGTAGGCAACGGCCTTATATGCATTGAAGCTTTTGCATAGACTAAAATTGATGTAGAAAATTTGAAATTAAATTTAATAATAAACTCTTCGAGCGCCTATAAATAGGCTATGGGATATTATGAAAACGAAAGCGCAGCGACTCGACCTACAGCAATAATAAAAACATAAAGAGAAAAAAACCTGTAAAGTTGTTGGGAATCAAAATAAAAGACTCGAATACGAAAAATCAAAACACAACAAAAACATACACACACACACATACATAAGAGTCGACGGCGGCGGCAGAGCAAAGATAGAAAGCGTGAACAAGAAGAAGCAGCAGTAGCAGCAGCAGCAGCAGCAGCTGTAGCTGTAGCAGAAGCAGCTGTGGCAGAAGCTAAAGTAAAGTAACGTAATGTAAAGTAAGTGGCAAAGTGAAAGACGCGAAAACTCGCTCATGTGACCGAGCGACCGAGTAATAAAATAGCAAAAAGCGACAGCGACGTCGACGCTGGCTGCGGCAGCAGCAGCGGCTGATGCCAACGCGCAATGTAAATAAAAAGTATAAAGCGTGTAAAAGCAGAGTTCAAAAAAGCGAAAGAGCGCAAAACGAAAATACACATAACATAACATATAATAATAATAATAAAAATGCCGGCCGCTTTAGCGGCTGATTTTCAGACACACACACACACACACATACATAAACATTGACGAAAATTTTGCCATTTTTGCTTTGGCTATCCTATCGCCGCGTACTATTTTCGTCAGTCAGCTGCTGCTGTCTGCCGCCGCTCTCTGCGCTCATATGTTTTTCCTCGCTGTCTGTTTTATATGTATTTATATATATATATATGTGTGTGTGTGTGTGTGTGTTGCCTGCTGAGTATTTTGATAATTCAAACTTCCTCAATGTGCAGCAGCTGCGACGCGACGACTTCTTTTATTTGCTGCTCTGCTTCACCTACGCGTCGTCGTCGTTGTGTGTGCAGCTTTTGCTGCTGTTGTTATTTTTGCTGTTGTTCTCTTTGTCTGCTGCTGCTACTTTAAGTTTTCATTTCATTCATTGCTTGTGCTCTTTTATTAGTCCATGTCTTCAAGTTCAAATATGACGTTTATTTTTGTTACGTCTCTGTGTCTACGACTAACGGGATCGCAAGCGTTAAGTGGATTAAGTAAACGAAAAGACGCAGCTGTATCCATGCATACGAATATGTGTGTGTAGGTATGCATATGCTTAAGAAAGAAGTAACTATTCGAACAGTTTGAATGTCTTTGATTTCAAGCAAAGAGAGCAGCAAATGTATTTATATTTTGATGGGACAAGCTTTAGGCTACTAAGTAAAGAGCCAGCCTTTAATTAAAAGGCTGTTCAAGCGAAAACTTTTCAAGAGAATTGTTTACAATAGTTTGAATTCTTGTCACGAAAAGGAGGGAAAGAAGAGGATTGCAGAGCTTCGATTTAAAGCGGACTTTATTGCGGTTCTTAAGCTTTAGGAAACGTTGAGCAAAGTTTGTGTTCTTATGACGCTTAATCTGATTTTCTGTATTTAGCAACTGCAGTTTTATCCTGGTTATCCTGTGGCAAGCGTGATGGCTGGTCAAGCGCTGTTGCAGTTAAATTAAAAATATGTGGTCTACTTTTAGGTGGCAAGCAGCAGCAGCAACAACAACAACTTGAAGGATATTATTGGTAGAGCAAAAGTGCAAACACAAAGCAAATTTTTGAAGAATTTTTAATTAAAATGCAAGCAGCTACAGCGACGAGGGGGAGGAGGGGGCAGCGCGGCAGCAGCGTCAGCGACGTCAACGTCGTCCTCATGTTGTTAGCTCTGTTTTTGTAATTGTGTAAACATGGGAAGTAGAAAAAAAAGGAGAAGAAGAAGCAGCGTAAAAGCAACGGCGACAAATGTTGCGGTTTTTCGCAAAGCTGAGCGCGAGCGCGCGTAAAAGCAGTTAGTAAATTGCAAATACACACACACACAGACCCGACACACACACACACACACGTTAGAGCCAGACACCTGCATCATATGCAAAAATAAAAGGAGAAAGAGCGAGGCAGAGGGAGAGGTAGAGAGATTGGGCAGCCTGATGGTCACGTAGCAGGAAGCTTCAAACCCAAAAGCCAAAGTCCAGCGAGTGTGGGCTTTATTTTTTATTTTTTTGCGAATGTGTTGGCATGACAATGTGCAAGTGTGAGTGGGACAGCGTGCACGTAAGCTACAGCTGCGTAACAAACAACATGGCGGACAGTGCGGCCGTCGTGAGTGCTTTGTGCGTTCTCTACGGCTATGCCATTTAACCTAAACATCATTCACGTACATGGAACGTCTGCCAAGCATGCTGCTTCTTCTACTGCAACTGCTGCGGCTGCCGCTGCCACTGCCACTGCTGCTGCTGCTGCTTCTTCTTTCTCTACCTTTTTGAATATACAGGCAGGCGGGCGGGCGGGCAGCAACGCCCAATTGCTCAAATGGCTGCAACTGGGGCCCCGGCTGTGTATTGTAACTGTAACTGTAACTATAGCTCTGATACTCTTGAGCCCCCACACACACACACACACACACATACACAGAGACTCACTGTGGAAAAGAATACGAATACACAGTGGAGACACTTTATAGCCGGAGAATCTTCATTTACTTCCGCGCCCAGGCAATTTTTTCGATGTTTTTTTTTTGCTCTGTTATTTTACTTGGTTGCGCATACGCCTCGTGCAACGTTCTCGCCGCATCATTGCCATATTTAAATACCCTATCGAGGAGAGATATATAGAATATTCTTCTAGGATTTTAAAAGACAAATACGGTCTTCTGATATCATGTGTATATATAATAAATTGACTTTTTTTTATATTAAATATTTCATATTTATTATATATGCATATTTATCTCATCTTATGATTTATTTTTTTGGGATCCATTTAAATTTTGCTGTTTAAAATCGTTGAAAGCTTCCACTTTAAAATATCGATTAAAATAATCTATTAAATATATTATATTAAAAATATTAATATTAATTAATTGCAGAGCATTAAATCACGATTATACGTTTTAAATTTATTTCATAATAGAGCTTTTATTCTTGAAATACGTTTTTATTAGAGCTTTTGCCTTGGATTAGTCTCTAAATGAATTCATGATATACATTATTCTCTAAATGTGTTCAAGATTGAGATTTATAAGGATTATTCTCTAAATACTCATGAATGAGATATTATTCTTTAAATATGTGCATGATAGAGCCCTTGCTCAAAATATAGCTTTTGGCTTGGAACATTTTCATATTAGAGATCTTGGCGGATTATTCTTTAAATATTTTGTTGGCTTGCTAGTTGTGGAGGTTAAGATTTGGGAATCAATTTATGAAAATTACTTAGATTAAAATTATTGTGGCTGATCCTTTAGCTTTTGCTTTAGAATGTTGGAACCCATTAACATCTTCTTCAATAGGATTCTTTGAGTAGATCAATAATACAAAATTACTGAGATAAAGTATTGTGACTGATCCCTTAGCTTTTGGTTGTGAATTTTGGAACTTTTAACATATCCTTCAACACGATTCTTAAAGTTTATTAAAATTACTGAAGTAAATAATATTTTGACTGGTCTCTAAGGTTCCAGTTACCACAAGCTATACGGTTTTTTTATATATCTTTTTTGTCTATATCTACTTATGTATTTTTTTAGAGATCAGCAAAGTGCATCAAAAGTTGGCTATATTTGTAAAAAGCTCGAATATCTTTGACATTTCGCTTAGCTAAACTGCCAACTATTGTGCTGCTAGGGGCCGGAATACCGTTCTCAACCTCATCATGATGATCATGATTGTGTTCATTATCACCGTCATCATCATCATCATCATCATTGGTAGAACATTTGCTGGCTGCCTCTTGTGTCCGTTGTTCATCTTTGGCACTGCCACAGCTGCCACCCAGCTGACAATCAATGTTTGGTTTAGCTGCAAAAATTTTCCTTTTAGCCTGGCGAAAAAAGTCGCTGCAAAACAAAACATCGAGTGGCTGTGGAAAGCAAAAAAAATATATATATGTATATACATAGAGCACAAATGTGCGGGGCGAAAGAAAAAAAAAAAAGGAATGAAATTAATTTCTTTTGTGTTTTGGCGGGGAGCAGCTACGACGTTATTTAGTTGGCCGAGTGGAGCTGCCGGAGCTGCCGGAGCTGGCGGAGCAGGCGGCAACTCCAATGTTCATTTCCGGCAGTCAAAGCTGCGTCCTGTGCGTCCCGCTTCCCCGTTCCCCAACCTGCACCTGCTCAGGTGCGCATCGCTCGGGCTGCTTGCAGTTTGAGTTAGTTGGCATCTTTTGCGACCAGCGCTCTGGGCAGGCTCTGTCAAGCCCGGCAAACCCGGCGCCATCCTGCCACGTTGCACTCTTCATTTCGCTGTCTTTTCATACTTTTCATACCCTCCCCTTGTTTCCCTGTCTCCTCTCTTTTTTTTTTGCACATTTTTTTCGCCGCATTCTTCTTGGCGCTTGTTCATTTGCCCGCAACTGTATCCATGGCATGCAGCAGGAGCGTTGAAGGCGTGGCACATACATAAGCCGCCCGCAACCGACAGACCCGTTTGCCTCTTTAGTTTTTAGGTTTGCACACACAGCAACACACACACACAAACACGCACACCCTGAATCGCTGTGTATGCTAATGAAGCCTCTTCTTTGGCTCTGGCTTTCAATGGGCCTGGTTCTGAGTCTGAGTCTGGGTGCAGGTCCGAGTCCAGCTCCGGCAACGGCTCCTGCTCCGGGTTCGGGTCCGGGTCTGGCCTAAGCTCATGCCATTTGGCTCGCTGTTAATCCCTGCCACTAAAGACCAAGAACGACAGGGCGTCACACCCACTTGCGGGTTGGGATGGGCGGCAGGCGCCTTTCTGTGCTGCGCAGTCTCGCAGCTGAGAAATGCAGGACTCGCAGGACAGGACTCCGGCGTCCTCTGTGTACGCCTGCAATCTGCACGCCTTGTTGCGGTATTAGTTTGCTTTACGTGATTTCGTTGCATTCGTATTCTTTTCCTTTCCTTTTCCATTTTTTTTTTGCATGCTACAATTTGGTTTTAGTTTGCCCCTCATTTTTTTTTTCGTTTTTTTTTTTTTGGTTTTTTTTTGCATTTTCTTTGGCGTGCGCGCGCGTTCTCTGTGTGGATTTAATTACAGTTTTCCTCTCGCAGATAATCGAATTTTTTTCCTGCACACACACACACACACACACACACTCGCATACACACCACGTCCACGTCCTGTGTGTTGTATGGGACTTCCTTTTAATCTGCATGTCGATTTCCTTTGCACAGATTCTTCTCTTACTCTCATATTTTTTTTTGCCCCCTCTATCTTTTTTTTCTACTGTTATTTCACCAGGGTCCTTTCTTTTTTGTTTTTCGACCAAGTTTGCACATAAATTTCAGTTCAGTTGTAATTAAAAATTGCTTTTGAGGCTCCTGCTGGCTGCGTTTCTTAGTCAAAATTAGTTTTCATCTTCTGCTGCATTTTGCCTCGTGTTTTTAATCCACAAGTTTCGTTCCGATGAAGCATATCCTTCTCGTTGAGTTCCCTCTGATTTGCCACTCCCCCATCCCCCACAAAACCTCAACTCTGTGTTATTTTTTTCTTGTATATCTCTGTCCATTGCAAAGGTTATTGATTTTGGCTTGTGCCCGGGCGGATAAAGAAAAAAATTGACCTGAAATTATTTACCATAAATGATTTCCGTTTGACTACAGGTTAATCAAGCTGGAACTTTTATTGTTCAATTAAAAATTGGCATGGAAGTTCTAATTGCAATACCCATTCGGAAAGTTATTAAATATTCAAGTACCAGAATCTTAAATTGGGGAGTCTTTACTCTATTAAAGCTAATATGAACATAAATATAACATTCGCGATAATATGTTCAATTTACAAAACTATAAATCCTACATTAAGAAATTTTAAATTCACTTAAACTGGCGGAAAATGGGTGAAAATCCAATTTTAATACCAGTATGAGTACTCTCGTCGCGAGAGCGCGACTATTGAATACCCTGAACCTACTTTTACCAAAGGTTATACTAGCATTAATAAAAAATAAGATTAATCGATGGCCATAAAATTAAAGATATTCGACCTGTATATACCATTCTAGAAGCCGAATGTCAAACTTGGCGACTGAAGCTCTTAAATTCTAAGATATCTGCCCAAAAGAGAGAATTTCGATATCGATATTGATAAATGGCTTGCAAAAGGTGGAAGTTATCGGTTATCGGTAATCGAAAACAAACTCGTATTGCGCGAGCACTAGAAGAAAATACGTTTAAAATTTCAGTCTCTGGCTCTTATAGTTTCTGAGCTCGACTCGGCAATTGAAGCTGATCAAGAATATATATACTTTATGACGTCGGAGATGCTTCCTTCTGCCTGATACATACATTTGCACAAAACCATTATGCCATATTTTCAGGGTATAAAAAGTACATCGTCTATGTGAATTCTCTTCAAAAACTATGCCATACCATGCCTAAAATCTACCCAAGTTGGAAGATCTGATTATGCTCAATTTGCATTTAAGCAATAAGAGAAAATTTACCTTAATTTAATTTTTATTTAATTGAAACTTGAGGCCAACTTCAGGCGAATTGAAGTCGCGTTAAGCATTTTAAGATCTACATTTATTTTAAGTGATTTTCCATTGCATTTTTGTGGTACCTTTTACTAATGACCTCAATTCGTTTTGCTCTCTTTCTATCTTTCTCTTTGACAGGTAAGCAAAAGTCGTGACAGTGTAAAACGCCCAAAAGAAACCCTCCACAAAGGGGGGAAAAAACTGCAGCAATGCAAGAAAGTAAAAACTGTAAGTTTCACTGCGATCTGGCCACAGATTGTAACCAATATAAAAGTAACTAAAAAAAGTATATACAAATATTCGTATATATGAACCTCGATTTGAATGTGTGTGCGTGTGAGTGTGTGTGTGCGTGTGTGTGTGAATTCCAATTTTGAGAAAATGCGTACAAAAAATGCAAACTGAATCACAATGCAAAAATGTTGAACGGACTTGAGTTTTGTGTCAATAATAAAATATACAAAATATGGCAGCATAATTTTGTAGTCGACAGTTGAATACCCTGTAAGATGATGCATATTAGGAATAGTTAGTTATCGATAGTTTTTAGTTTTTAAATTCAGTATTGTGGCTGGCAGTTAAATACACTGTAGGGTATTACATCAGGTAGACTATTCAAAGCTGATGCTAAAGCCCTGGGATTT